CTCACCTATCAAATGGAGTTGAGGTGGATTTTACAAAATAAGGAATGGAAAAATTCATAATTTTTTGTTAGTGAATTTCTTCAGACAGAGTTGTCCTGATAAGTTATATAGTGTAGGAAATAAACAATGAAACAGTCAATGATCAATATTGTTTCTGTGTTCAGTTGATTGCCGATCTCTAACATTTTCAACAGAGGAGAGAATAGCATTTCCCAGGTAGGCCCATTGGGGCCTATCTAGGCAGTGTGAGTTATTCACACTGTCTCATTCGAATATACATACATACTCTATAAGTGTCACAATGACTATTCAAAACATTGTAGTTTCTGCGTTGAGTACAACTCAAGCAGGCGGGTTGGCTGTACTTGTTCATTGTTCATATTTCACTGCCTGAACCACTGTACATGCTGTTTTAGGCGAGTGCATTGGCTTGGGATGTGGGGGTTAAGCAAAACGGCCATCGGATGCCTGCTTCCACGTAGCCCCGCTGGATACGGGAATTACAGAATCACTTGTGGTTCTGTTATTCCCTAACTGAATGGCATCCCAACGAGGGCTCAATATTAAGGTGTGTGTATCCGAGAGGATGAATGACACTGAGCCTATCAGCTATCTCTACGGAACCTTCGAAATACCGGGCGCCCTCTCGTCGTAGCATCGCCTTATCACGGTAATGCGGGGCTCTGCCATGCTTGCCCTTCTTTCCCTAGCTACTCGTGGGACCTTTATGGACAGGGTGAACTTAAAAAAATCCTTTCTGACGCTAAGTCTATAGAGGAGATGGATGTCGAGCTTACGACTCCAACTGACCTCCCTGTAAACTCAGATCAGTAGCGATTCTACAGAGGAGATGGACGTCGAGTTTACTACTCCAACGGATCTTCCTGTAAAATTCATTCCTGGAGCGAGTCTACAGAGAAGATGGATGACGAGTTAAGATCCCAACTTACCTCCCTGTAAATTTAGTACAGGAGCGAGTCTACAGAGGAGATGGATGTCGAGTTTACGACTCCAACAGACCTCTCTGTGAATTTAGTTCAGGAGCGAGTCTACAGAGGAGATGGATGTCGAGTTTACGACTCCAACGAACCTCCCTATAAATTTAGTTCAGGAGCGAGTCTACAGAGGAGATGGATGTCGAGTAATTGACTCCAATCGACCTCCCTGTAAATTTAGTTCAGGAGCGAGAGCTGCGGCGTACGCAGAATCTGTCTCAGATGAGGGAACTGACCCCTCATGAGCAGGTCAGCAAACGTTTGCGCTCAAGTGAGGTTTCGCCAAAACCAGAGGCGAATCTAAGTCATCTTCAGGTGTAGACCCTCATATGGAAAGGTTGTCGTGGGTATCAAGGTGGAAATCTTTCAATTTGACTATCCGACTACCTCATTAACAGAGCATATACTTAGTGCCTGCGCCGCTGGGGACCGAATAAGGTCTTTAAAGTTCGGCAGAGCCGTACTCTTACCATCTGACCTGAAAGACCACTAACCATATAAACTAATCGGCTTCGTTAAGAAGCTGGGTCTGTTTGGCCGAGTGAGAATAGGTGTGAGCCACAATGAACCTTTGCGGGTTGCGCTGGAAGGTCGAATAGACCCACCCACTTTGGATCTAACCTAACCTAACAACTTAAGCACTTCGACTTTCATCTCATCTTCTTTAATAACTTCTTTCGCCGTAGTAGACGAACCGTTAGGCATTTAAACCTGCAGACCACGACCAAAAATTCTGGAAAATAGCTTTGACACAGATGATACATGAGTCACAAGAGGATATTTACATAAATTGCAATAATCAGAAAATGCAATATATTCAGATGTGACAAAGAGTCAAAAAACCAACATTTAACACTCCTTACTGATCTCTTCATTTCTAACAGTAACATTATGATTATCTGAATAATATCACAACACAACAAAGTTTTTGTTTCGGGGTTGAAATTAGATGATTTTAATGTATTTCCACGTGTTAAAACCGAAAGTGACCATAAAAATTATATATTAGCTCTTGTTTTCAAGATATGGTATCATTATATTATAACTGTTTGGTGCTTATATGATATGCATATACGTTCTTGCTTATTCGTTGAATAATATTTCACAATCCTCGAAAATAATTATTGATCAACGGTATCCTTTGAACTCTGTATATAACTTGTTTGACATGTTTGACAATCTACTGCCTTGATTGCTTTGACTTATACTCTATTCAGATACAAGTGGCTGTAAGTCTTGAATGAATTTTTGAATCGTTACCTGTTATTTCATATCATTTGGAAAGTTAGTGGTATCGACACATTTAGGGTGTTTGTGAGGCAGTATACCTGGCGCTCCTTTCCTTTTTTCATCAATTCTAAATCTTGATATAATATTGAAGAACCCTCCCCATCTTCACTGAAACTAGTCACGAATACCCACCTGATAGGTGACTTGTATCACTTATCGATAAGTGAGGTTACACCCTGCATATCAAGAACCATCAATAAAACATAGCTTCCTCTCTACAACTTTTTCCTGAAATTTTTTTTGTATCTCTACTAGGGAAGCAGCTATCGGCCAACCACCTTTCGTTGATACAACCTGTGTAAATAATATTTCTTGACATTTCAGTTAATAACAGACTGCTTTTCAGTTGGACTTCTTCATAGATGTCCAGCTTTTGGCAATGTTACTAGCCTTTTTCAGTTCAACTTTGATATTAACATGGGTGATTCCACATTACTTGATAACATTTTCTACTCACTATCGTGAGGATGAATGAAAAAATGGATTCATATGGAAAGAAGAGGAACATGAATGAAATGGAATAAGGGAACTGACTTTCAGATATTTTTGAATCAGTAAAAAAAAGAATCGGATAAGGGTGTTTTTTTTAAATTCTTCTAAATGAATGTATAAATTTCAATGAGATTATTGAGGTCTGATTATCAAAACAGCTACAAATGTTTATTGGAAATCTAGAAAATTGTACACAATGTTTCAACTGAACACAATAAAATTCAATAACCAATATTCAATTTCACCGTACCCGAAATGCAATCATTGAAATAGATGGACTCGTATTGCACTGTTGACCATTATTAACCTGGCTAATTCAAAAAACATGCTATTCAAATCTAATGATCATCATCATCAAAAAGTATGGAAATTGCTGATTACTCTTTTGAGAAGCAGTATATATATGATAAATTATTGAATGAATTTCACATAACTTACTTTTGCTATTGAAAGAACCGATGCACTCCTATATTGAAGCTTAGGTGATACAGTTCTTTCAGTTTCATGAACCTCCGGTTCTTCCAATTCTTCATGGTCCCCTAAGATTTTCGTGAAGTCCAGTTTACTATTCAACAATTCTTCGAAATTTCCTTGAGCTTCAATTTTTCCCTATATAATGATAAAATTATTATTAACTATTTTGGATGCATTCACTTTCTGTAGTATGAAACGCAGTGCCACTATCAATTATTCTCGAATATTGTAGTCTTTTTGAACAGAAGTGGAAGTTAGCCACACGTTTATTGTATATGAATGTATGATTCAGAAGTTCAATTCTGCCTTACGAATTGAAATTTCACAGTACATCTGCACGAATATTATATTCAGACTATATTATGTTAGTTGTTCCCGTGGGTTGGGCTACCTATCGGGCGCGTCCCCAGGTGTCCAAAAGGGGAACGGCCAGGGGACTGGAAGCCCTGTCCGTGAAGCCAATGTGGCCTTACGGACGGGATCGCTGGGCTCCTGATCAGTGACAGAAATAAGTAGGGTGAGGAGAATTGAAACTCCCCAAAAGCCTTTGCAAAACATGCCACCGTGGACCAGCCTACCCNTAAGAACGTTTTTCCAAATAGATTTATTCTTCAGCGATTCATATTCAATGTGAATCACTTCTTTTGCACAGGCACCGCTCTGAGAGCGCCTCAAAAAGTTTCCTGTAGTGCTTGTGTTTTGTCCTTGAAGAGAAACATTCTATAATAAAACACTATGGATGAACTTTCAGAAAATGTAGGGATTGACTTATTGATTTCCATCAAATCCTAATTTCTATTGAATCAATTTATGTTCAGTCTTCAGTCTGATTTTGTTGATTTTTCGCAGCAGGACAATACCTCAATAAGATAAGAAAAAAATTATAATTAGGTGTGAGAACATTACTGCTCCTGCAGAAATGTATTCGATTCTGAACAGTTCACACGATCATCGATAATTTTTATTGTCTTTTTTCCACGTTATATTGACTTCTTGTGCTTTACATTATTTTTGTTTCCTCAAACATCTCTTTCCGAAGTTCTGGAATAGTATATTCATTCCATTAGGATCACGTACTGCATATTATTTCACAGACAGAGAGCAGCTTATGTAATATCTACCCTGAATGTGGATCATTTCAGGTATATCCAGTCACCCATGGAACATTTGAATTTTGTAGGAATTATCACAAAACTTGACATTAAATTATTGAGCAGCTGAATTAATAATTGAAATACACTATGTTTTCTCCTCGAAAAGGAATCGTCTACCGAATGAATAAGATCTACATTGACAATGTGACAAGTTTGTATAGTGTTGGATATCCTATCTCAAGGTCTATACGACCGGAGAGTTTTTGGAGGGTTAAAGGAAGATTTGAGGAAACAGGTAGTGTCAAGCATAAGAAAAGGCAAATAATGAATAAAATTGCAACCATAGAGAAAAATGAGTCAGCGATGATGCTTTTAGCAGTTAGAAATCCTCATAAAAGTACGAGGGAAATTGCAAGTGAGTTGGATATAACTCATACTTCCATGAACAGAATGTTGATCCAAAATGAGGTTTTTTCATACCGACTTGAATCACATCAAGAACTATTTGAAACTGATTATAGAACTAATGTTCGACATTGCGAAAATTTATTGAATTGAATTATCAAAGAACCGAATATTCTGAAATATTTGTTTGAAGGTGATTGACAATGTTTCGTGATGAATTTCACTAGTTCGGACTTCCATTGTCTATTATATAAAATGATTTGAAATCCCTGAAACAAGTAAAAAAGAATAATTAAAAAAGAATAGTTGAAAATAACAATTATATTAAGCAACAATAAACCTGAAATGA